ATAGATCAGGCCCAGAGCCTTCATTAATAATCATGCCACTGTCCCAACAGTAGACTGCATTGAAATTTTTCTACCACCCAGGGAGTATATCTAGTAGACACAAGCAAAATGCAGACCAGCTTCCTGCCAAAGCATAATATATACCACCTGGGATCCAGCAGCCAATGCAGTCCCTTCACCAGAGAAGCCTCCTGAGTCTCATCTTAGCCAGCAGCATTTCTTTTTTTTTTTTAATTTTTAATTTTATTTAAGGAGAAAAAGAAAAAAACAGAGAAAGGTTACAAGTAATACAGAATTTCAAAAAAATTAACAGTAAGAAATCACTAGTTAATAGATTACATATTGTCATCTTAGAAATAGTTGTTCAAGTTACAAAATTAAAGCATATAAAGTGGACATTCAAACAGTGAGACTGCAAACAGTTCTGTTCAGTGATCCAACAAAAACTCAGTAATATTGTTATCTATCTTACACCCTTAAATATACATGCAATTATATCCTTTAGAGCACGTTCTTTTCCTCTCTTTTTTACAATGACAATTACACATTTTGGATTTTATTACTCCCACAGTTCTTATTACTTTTTTGAAGAGAATAAAACCAAATGTGACATAACAAAACAGAGTCAGTCAAATCAAAAGGATGGACATAGTACATAATGTAAAAACAGAATACAAGGTGATCAACAATGGTTATCATAATGCCTCTTGCTATCTTAAAAAGAATTGCCTATATCCTCAGTTATAATGAAATTGAACAAAACAGTAAAGAATAAAACCAAAACATTGGAGACATTACAGGACTTCAAAAGAAGATAATAGTCAAACCAGAATGGGCGTCATAGTGAATCTTATTATCTTCACAGTTGTTGCCTATATTCTCAAACTTGCTACTGTCAAGCAAAACAGAATAGAGTATAATCAGTCAAAACAAGATGGTGAGAGCAATACAGGTTTCAAATCAAGTTAATAGGAAATCAAAGTGGGTTACTGTAATATATCCTGCTATTTTTTATTTATTTTTTCCCTTAATTAAAAAGATAATAAAAAAATAAATAATGAAAAAAGGAGGTTGAGGTAAAAGAGGACATAACAACAAAACATCACAGGTCAGAACATAACCATTTAAGCAAAGTGTTTCACCACAAGATATCCTGACATAAAAGTAGTTACCATAGTATCTGTTTCCTTGAAATCTTTGAGTATAACTTCGTATACTGTAGCATCAAACATATCAAGACAATGTAAAACCATTCAAGAGAATGACAGTATTACAGGGTATTACAGTAGAACCAACTAACAGAAAATGAACAATGGTTTCTGTATTATCTCCTTGTCTATAAAAGTTTTTGTTTATATTATCACATATAATAAAATCCAATAATGGGGCTGGGGATTTAGCTCAGCGGCATAAGCGCCTGCTTTGCAAGCAGGCAGTCATGAGTTCGATCCCTGGTACCGATAAAAACAAAAAAAGACAAAAAAAATCATAAAATCCAGTAAGATATAACATGTTAAGACTGATGGAGACAGAAGAACAAAAGCTTGATGGGACTTCAAAACAAGATGATATTAAATCAGCACTAGCTATTATGATGTCTTGTTTTCTCCAAAATAGCTGTTCATACCATCCAACCTTCTCTGCATCATTTCTGTTGAGCTCTTTTTCTGTCAATAGTTGTCAGTTTGTCTTCTTCATTTCGCTTTCTGCTCCATTCATTGTGGCCTCTCTGCCACTGTTTCTGGAATCTTGGTATTTTTCTCTTTTTGAATGTCCTGCAGTATTCTCTGTAGAGTTGAATTGGTGGTCCAAAATTCTTCTAGTTCCTCTTTATCCTGGAAGCACCTTGTTTCTCCACTAATTTCTAGGGACAGTTGTTCGGGATATACCAATCTTGGCTGGAGGCTATTGTCTTTCTTTCTTTTTTTTTTTTTTTTACTACTCTTATAATCTTGGATCTCATGGTTATTGTCTTTCAAAGCTTGAATTATTTCACCCCCTGCTCTTTGTGTTTGTTTGCTTTTTTTTTTTTTTAACTTTTTAAAATTTTTATCGGTACCAGGGATCAAATTAACGACCGACTGCTTGCAAGGCAGGTGCTTATGCACTGAGCTAAATCCCAGCCCTTCCCCTGCTCTTTGTGATTTGATGGCTTGTGCCGAGAAGTCTGCTGTAATTCTGTTGGGTGTTCCCTTGTAAGTGATCTATTTCTTGTCTCTGACAGCTTTTAATATTCTGTTATTATATATATATATGTATATATATATATACATATATATATATAATATATTTTGATTATTATATTCCTGGGTGTAGTTCTGTTTGGGTTGTAGGTAGTGGGGTCCTGTCTGCCTCATAGATCTGAGTATGTTTACCTTTTCCTATATTAAGGAATTTCTCCTTGATTATTTCTGTGAATAGCCTTTGCAGTTCATTTGTTTGTATCCCTGCTTCTTCCTTTATGTTCTTAATTCTTAAGTTATAGATCTCTTATGGTCTTCTAGTCTTTGTATTGTTACTGTTTGTTTCCTTGGTATTTTTAAGAAGTTTTTCCTTTCATGCTCCCACATTACAAATCTGTACTCCAGTTCAGATAATCTATCCTTAGTTTCTTTCAAGCTTTTATGCCAGCTTTCAATAGAATTTTTAGTTTCCTGGTAATCTCTTTGAACCTGCTTCATGTATTCTACATTTTCTCTATTTTCTCCATCAAACAGTTCTCTCCTTTTTTCCTGTTCTTCCATTCCTGTCCTCATTCTCCTTTGCATTTACCTTTCGTGGATCAGGGTTCTCAGGATTGGGGACTGAAGACCCTTTCTTGTTGCTCTCTCTTCCCATACTTTTTGTTCCTTCCATACAAGCGTATATAGGAGTCTCAGTTTCTTTGTTGGTTACAGTTTGAATCATGCCGGCTAGGTGTTCCCACCCCCTGCAGTTTACTAGGGAGACACAGACCGGGGCAGCCTATGCTGGGCCCGCCCCTCCAGGTCAGTCAACCTGCTGAAGGCTTCACCGCATTAGGGTGTACTGCCAGGCGCTGGGACCTGGTTTGGGCTAGCCTACTGGGTCTTAGTCCACGGCATCACCCAGGTCAAGTGCTCCCCACCTTTCCTGCTTGAGAGGGGAATATGTGACAGAAGTCACTGCAGCATCCTGTTCTGCTAGTCTGTCCGGTCACAGAATGTCCTCTGTTGGAGCCTCCTAGTAAATGGAAGGGTCCCCATTCCTCTCACTCACCGCAGATCGATACAGGGCTCCCCAGCAACTCTGCTCTCAATTGAGTTCGCCAATTCCCGCTGTCAGAGCTTTCACATCTCTATCCCTGCTCTGCCGATTCACATGCAGCAGCAGCGGCAGGAAATTCTAGCCGTGATTAACAGAGGCGCGGGTTCCAGCTTTGGCACTGAGACTTTAGCTGTTCCAGTCATAGCTCCAGGATTGCATTTCCTGTTGGATTTTCTCAGCTTAGTTCATTCCTGGGTTGGCAGGGTATATCTCCCCACACCGCACCATTCCTGGAATCTGAGCTGGCTATCTCAGAGAGCCTCTGTAGCTGCTGTTATCTATCCGCCATGTTCTCCCGGAAGTCTAACCAGCAGTATTTCTATCAATATTCTGATTTCCCAGTCTCTGACCTGAGTCTTCCATATAGTTTACAGCGTACAGGGGCTGCCTGTTCAGCCAGTCTTTCAAAGTCTTTGCAAATTAATTCTTAAAGCTCTTAAGCAGCATGGCCAAGCAGTGTCACAACAGGGACCCCAATTCTTGGTACCAGATTTGCCATGGTTTACAAGGGAAAAGATTTAATACAGAACACATAATTTATAGGATTTTAAATAATACAGAACACATAATGTATAGGATTTTGGGGATATTTACCCAAAGAAGCAAATGCACAAGAGTATGGGAGATCTGTCCACACAGTAGAGAAAAGTCCAGCTGAAGACCTAGAGCTGAGGCCATATCCTCCAGGAGTCCAATTGAAGGTCTAGATCCTACGACAGTGTCTCACATCTCCTCTAGGAAGGCCCAGAGGTCAGTGGTAGAAGCTAAAATGGCTGTGCCTGCGAGATGAAGGATCTGCACCAGCAGGCTGAGGCAGCTAGGAAGTGATGCTGAAGGTAATAACCAGAGCTCCCCCAAAGGAAACCACAGCCACCCTCAGCAACAGCAAGCACCCGAGCTCTCTGACAGTGACAGCAGCCAAGTTCCTATTAGGCCAGCTAGAGTGAGAAACTTCTCCAGGAGAATCAGCAGCACTCATCTTCCCTCCAGTTCTTTGATGCTGTTGCCAACAATCCACAGGAGGGCCTTCCACACTCAGCAACACACTAATTCAGTTTAGGTGGGTGTTACAAGCTGATCATTAGTTACACCTGGTACTTTTGTATGTTCCAGTGTAATCTTTTAGATTTAACTGTTATTCTTACAAAAATGATAACAGTTGCTGAGAAATAAGCAGTAAGTGTCCTTTAACCTTCGTAAAATTCATGAGTTCATAGTTATCCTTTGTTAAAAAAAAAAAAAAAACTCTTTGGCAACCATCACACTCAACTCTTTGAAATTTAAGAAGCCAGATATGGTGGTACATGCCTGTAATCTCAGCACCTGGAGACTGAGGCAAGAAGACTGCCGTGAGTCAGTGCCTGCCTGGGTTCTATAGTGCATTCAGGGTCAGCCTGAATTGCAAAGTGAGACTTTGTCTCACAAAACCATTTCTTTTTAAAAAAGAGATATGATGAAGTTAAAATGATAAAATCTTGTTAAGTGTTAAATCTGAGTGATGAGCAAATGAGAGCTTATTTAACTCTTCTACTTTTTTTTTTTTTATAAAACATTTTTAAAGTCACATTGGTGTTTAGGGATGACAAAAGTGAGAAAAAATATTTAATATCTTTTTGTCTTTTTTTTTTTACAACATTGATTATGTTTCATAATGTTACAAAGGTCACCATTATGAGAATTAACCTACAAAGTTACAAATTATGTCCTTTTGACAGATCTTTCCTTAGACCACTCTGACCTAGTTGCTGAGTTATTGAAGGAGCTGTCTAATCATAATGAACGTGTAGAAGAACGAAAAATTGCTCTCTATGAACTCATGAAACTAACACAGGAAGAATCATTCAGTGTTTGGGATGAGCACTTCAAAACAATTCTGCTTTTATTGCTTGAAACCCTGGGAGATAAAGAGGTAAATGGCAAAATATGTATTTAAAAAAGAACCTGTCCTGTCTGGTTTTTTTAGATTACCTATTAACCTGATACCACACATATTCACAATTTGGAAAGGGTCTTTTCTGCTGTGTTCTGTGCATGAATTTTCACTAAAGTACTTTTTCTTCTAAATCAAGTAGTCAACAATTTTGAGCAGTTGACTATAGTAAAAACTGAAAGGTTGCAGGCTACAGTGTCATGGGAAAAGTACAGGTTACTTTTTACATATTTAAATGTTCAAAAGTAAAATTTCTTTTATAGTCAGAATGTAGCTGTTTCTTGGTTTCTTAGAAATTTTAAAACTGCAATAAGTTTTCACTAGAGATGTTAAAGTTATAGTATGCTACATATTTTATGTAGTTCTCTACAGTTTCTCTCCAATATTGAAATATTTAAGTTACAGAAATTGAAGTATTAAACTTTATTTACAACCTAAAATATTACGTGTTTCTTCTTAGCCTACAATCAGGGCTTTGGCATTAAAGGTTTTAAAGGAAATCCTAAGGCATCAGCCAGCGAGATTTAAAAACTATGCAGAACTTACAGTCATGAAAACATTGGAAGCACATAAAGATCCTCACAAGGAGGTGAGTAACCTACATTTGAGTTGCTGCTTTGTTCTTAGGTTACTGCCTGAACCATGTAAGCATGGCATTAAAAGTACTTCTGCCAGTCATTTCCTATATAAGTATTTACCTTGCTGGAAGTAGTGGCACACACCCATAATCCTAGCACTTGGGAGAGTGAAGCAGGATTGCTGCAAGTTCAAGGCCAGCCTGAACTGCATGCAGTTTTTATTTAGGAGTTTATCAAGTATTCTTACAGCTCAACAATGAAAAAAGAAGAGGAAAGAAACCTAATTTTTTAAGTGGGCTAGCATTCTGAATAGATTATTTTTCAAGGATGCACAAATGGCAATAAGCACATGGAAAGGTGCTCACAGTCATTAGTTATTAAGAAAATGCAATTAAAACTACAACGCAATTACCACTTATTAACCATTAGGAAAAAGAAAGTAAATGTAGGATAGTTTAATTTTTGAGAAGATTTGACTGAATCTTGGAAAAGAATCAATCATAACTTTTAAATCTATCTGGAATGTAGTTTTATAGTGCATCGATAACAGCTCACTAAATGTTTAAGAAACACTAGTAGATTAATCACTTTCTGACCCTTTAATCAGGCCTATCGCATTACTATTTTATATTCCTTTTTTTTTTTTCTTTTTTCTTTTTTATCGGTACCGGGGATCGAACTCACGACTGTCTGCTTGCAAGGCAGGCGCTTATGCCACTATTTGATATTCTTAAAGTTATTTTGTTTCATATTGACACAATTTTATTTCATATTCACACAAGCACTCCTGGAGTTGAGGGGATTAATAATACAGAACCTTGCTGTTGGTAATGCGGGAAACTTCATTCACATTGTAGTCTGGATAAATGGAATCTGCACCCCAGCATGACTAGACATGGTTTGATTTAAACATTACTTTTGCCTGACATGATGGTATAAACTTATAGTCCCAACTACTCAAGAGGCTGAAGCTGGATCATGTGAGAAGTCATGAAGTTTATACTTCCAAAACATAAATTGGGATTTTTAAATTACTGCCTGGCCTCGTTTCCTGTTTGTTTTAGGTGGTGAGATCTGCTGAAGAAGCTGCCTCAGTGTTGGCCACCTCAATTAGTCCAGAGCAGTGCATTAAAGTGCTCTGTCCTATCATCCAAACCGCAGATTACCCAATTAATCTGGCTGCAATCAAAATGCAAACAAAAGTGATAGAGAGAGTGTCCAAGGACACACTTAACCTGCTTTTGCCAGAGATTATGCCAGGCCTAATACAGGTAAGGAGCAATGTTTGGAGGAATAAGCTATAATACATGTGACAGTGTTATTTTAGGTCCTATGCAAGCAACACTAGCGATACAATTTTATTTCATATTCACACAAGTACTCCTTGTCTTCTTGTCTTTCAGAACAAAGACAAAATGAGGTGTAGGTGTAGTTAGGTGGGTGTGGGGTAAAATTTACATAGCATAAAATTTAGCACTTAACCATTTTTAAGTACACAGTTTACAGTACACTTAAAATTTTGTGTAAACATCATTATTATCCAAATCCAGAACTTTTTCATCATCCCAAGCCAAAACTATACATATTAAACACTGCCATCCATTTCTCCTTCCCTCTCAACCACTAGGAATCTCTATTCTACTTTGTCTCTAAAATTTATCTGTTGTGCTCACTTTGACAGCACATACACTAATATTCTAAAATTTACTTATTGTAAATGTCTTGTGTGAAATCATAAATATTTATCATTTTCTCATCTGCTTATTTCATTGAACATATTTTCAGAATTTTTTCATGTTATAACATATGTCTTAAGTTTCATTCTTTTCCTTTTTATGACTGAATAATTGGCCAGTTATGTATGTACTATAATTTGTTTATCCATTTGTCTATTTTTGTTGTTGTTGTTTTTTGTTTGTTTGTTTGTTTCTGGTTTTTGGTGCTGGAAATCAAACTCAAGACCTTGCACTTGCCACTGAGTTATATCCCTGGCTCTTAATTTATCTGTTAATGAATATTTGGGATGTGTCTTGGTTACTTTTATCTTGTTGAGACAAAATACCTGACACCCAAAATGAAGCATGGAAAGATTTATCTCACAGTTTTTGGAGGTTTCAGTCCATACTCAGCTGGCCCCAAGGCAGGATGACATGGCTGAGGAGCAGCTGTCATGGCAGCTGCAAGCAACAAGAGCAAAAAGCAAAAGGGGGAAAAGCAAGCCTATTTCCCTCCCTTATATCATATGCCAGCTCCACCCCTGGGTGAGAGCAGCACTCACACTGCCAGTCCCAGTGCTGGACCACAAACTAATCACAAACACTAGACTCAGCCACCTCCATGGTGTCATGAAGCTTGGAGAACCACCCGGACACAAACCATAACATCCAGCCAGGCCCCCAAAGATTCATGCATATCCTTTATGTAAAAAGCATTTAGTCCATCTCCCAGTGTTGCTCTTGATTTGCAACATAAATCTGGCTGAAAGCCCCCAACAGTAGCCATGCCTCCACCTCAACATTGATTGCCTTGAAATTTCTTCTGCCAGATTAATCAGTCTGTTGCCCTTAATCTTAGCCTCGGGCAGTCTCTGGACACAAGCAAAATGCAGACAAACTTCCTGCCAAGCCATAACATACATCATGTGGTATCTTAACGACCAATGAAGTCCTTCCCAGCAGATACCTCTCAATCCCTGGTCTTTACCAGTGGGCTCTCAGCCCTCCGGTCTTCTGAGCTCTGACCAGAATTTCCCATACGGAACAGCCTAAGCTGTTCCAATGCCTCTTTTTCAGGTGGGGTCTCCAAATCTTTCCAAACTCTTCCCACAAGCCATTTCCAAAGGCTTGTCAACCATATGGTCAGGTATAGTCACAACAATGACCCCACTCCTTTGGTACCAAATTATGTCTTGGTTACTTTTCTCAATGTTGAAACAATACCAGACACCCAAAATGAAGCAAGGAAAGGTTTATTTGTCTTACAGTTTTTGGAGGTTTCAGTCCATACTCAGTTGGCCCAAGGCAAGATGGCATGGCTGAGGGGCAGCTGTTTGTGGTGGCCGCAAGCGACAAGAGCATAAGGGTAAAACAGGGAAAAGTGAGTCTACTTCCCGCCCTTATATTGTATGCTGGCTCCACCCCTAGGTGGGTGTAACACTCACACCATCAATCCCAGTGCTAGACCATGAACCAAATCACTAACACTAGACTCAGCCGCCTCCACAACTGCATGAGGCTTGGAGGGACACCTAGATACAAACCATCATAACAGGATGTTTCTTGTTTTTTTATTAACATAAATATTCAGTGAACCTCTTTATGATACAGTATCTTATACTTAGATGTACACATGTAGAAATAAAATATCTATGTTGCTGAATTGTCTCCAAAATGGTTATACAAAGTTAAAGTCACATAGATAATGTATTTTTGTCTGTACACACAAAACATGAATATAAACATTTTAGAAACTATGAGATATTTTGTAATGTGCTTTACCTTGACTATGTAATATGAACATTTTCCATCCAATGAATAATATTCTATAATGTAATTTTAATGACTAAGTGTAGTCAATATATTAAGACCCTTCCAAGTGGAGATTAATCACTCATATCTTCGTATATCGGTATATTACATTTTTACTCTCTCGTAAATGTACTACTCACTGAATTATGAGGTCGTAAGACAAGGGCCAATTTTTTATCTATATTTTGATACTAAAAACAGGATATATAGTATGTATGTATCATCCATATTATGAATACTGAATGAATGTCTGCTGGATAAAACACTTCAAAATGTGGATACCAGCAAAGGCCTTGTGTGGCTGTAAGTCACAATCATTATGAATTTCTTATTTCCTCTGATTAGCTTGGTGCAAATTCTTAGTATACATAATTGTTGGGAGCCTATCAGAAAGGTACAAAAACACTAACGAATTTAAATCTTAGCATTGTTTTTTCTACAAACTATTAAAATTAAGATATATAGATATAAGGGTCAGAACTAGGAGAGTCAAGAGACAATGGCATGTTTGAGGAAAAATTACAGATGAAGGCAAAAGTACTCAAGATGGTTCAGATCAAGCTGAGGTGACCAGAATCCTCAGCTCTTAGAAATACTTTTTGGAAGTTCCCTTCCAGGAGGAGCTTCTCTTTTAGGAGGAGAAGCTTCATAGAATAGAGTCTAAACTGAGCATCACAGCAGCACTGTGACAGAGAGAACTGCACAGAAAGGCTTTAATTTCTGAACTATCAGGCAACAAGAAAAGGGAATAGATGTAGTGTAGTGATAGAGCTACATAGAAGGCTTCATTTAAAAAGCATAATGCAGAAAAGCCCATTTCATTTATACATGAGTGACAGAAAATCATTAGGGTTAGGGATCTCTCCTTCAAAATACAGGAAAAAGATAATGGTTTGTAATGTATCTATAACAAAAGCATACTATTTTAAAACACAGAGCTCTAAAATGTAAGAAACTATAAAAGCTCTTAAAAATACAAATTAATTTTAAAAGTTCATAAAAGGAGTAATTAGATAAGGATTTCAAAACGGCAAGTAAAGCTCAATAGAGAATTTTTTATTGGAAAATAACCTAAATACGAAAGAATAACCTAATACAATAACCTAAATACAAAAGAAATCTTGAGCTACATTCAATATATTTGTAGTTAGGGAAAATATTGGTATGTTTATTTTGGAATAGGGGTAAACTGAGGTACTGATATGTTGCTGCATGTGGTAGCACTTGGGAGCCTGAGGCAAGAGGGTCCCCCTGAGGGCTACATAGTGAGCTCAAGGCCAGCCTGAACTACTTAGTCTTAAATAATCAAACAAAAAACTACTTATGTATGTAAAACAAACGATGTGTCACAATGATCTTTGAATTGAATATATCAAAATGAAATTAATCTCTTTAAAAATGTTTCTTAGACCTATCTGTTGAATTAGTATCAACCCATATTGTAGTCTCCAAATACCATTTTCCACTCAAAAGAATTACATATATTTGGAAAAATGACTGGTTTCAGTTTTGAGCAAGAAATACACAAAATGAATCTTGGAAATCTTATATCTAAAAGCAAGGAAACTTTTTGAGATTTAAAAATAATAGTGCTATAATGGATTAAAATATAATAAATTTTGAAATGGAATTCATGCATTTATACTGATATATTTTAAATTGGTCACCTTTGAGAGTCCCTTATGTTCTAACTCGTTAGGAAATTAATAAAATGAAAGAAAGCATATAGCTTATCCTACTTCAGGATAGCCAATTGTTTGGTGAGATAAAGCACTTTCAGAAGAATTCTAGGGGAGCTGGGAAAATGGCAAATCAATAAGCAGCAAAGTAAAAAGCGTCTCAGAGAAACAGCTCAGATGCTGGAATATAGCACTGTAGAGAAGACCAGATGGAAGGAGATGGATCCTCTCAACCCAGGAAGAAACTAAAGTGCAAAAAAAAAGGAAGGAAGAAAGAAAAGAAAAGAAAAACTTGGATAGAAAGCAGTAGCCATGGGGGCTGGGGATTTAGCTCAGCGGCATAAGCACCTGCCTTGCAAGCAGGCAGTTGTGAGTTCGATCCCTGGTACCGAAAAAAGGAAAAAGACGAAAAAAAAAAGAGTAGCCAGATACTCTCTCACCAGAGCTGGTTCCACTGTGTGCAAAAAGCCAATGGAATCCAAAGACACATAGTCACAGTGAAGTTAGGGGTTGGCAAGCCCGAAGGCCTTGGCGGGAGGACACGGTCATGGAGGGGAGCAGCAGACCAGAGAATTGCAGCAGCTCAAGGTGAGTGTGGGGGACTCAGTCCTCCCACAGGAGTGGACAATTGGCCAGGCACCATTTTGGAGTAAGGCACAATAAGCCTTCAGCTAGCTTCATTCAGCCACTCCTAGTGTAGAACAGATTGGTGAGAATTGCTTGGACTGAGAGCCACCCCTGTGCACAGTCCAATAGCCAAGGCTGAGGTTCCCAAAAGCTATCCCTAACTGGCCCAGACCATGCGGCACATGCTAACATGATGAAGATCCCAGTGGTTGACCAGCTCAGAAGGGAGGGGCCAGCCTGCCCTGCCCCAGCTTATACTCCAGTGGTCACCAGCAGATTGGGGAGGGCAGCAATCCCTAGCCAGCACACTTCAGAGTAATTATAACCAATATAGTGCCAGGGACCCCAACTACCCACTTGTCTGGAAGAAACCAGAAACCTGATAAGAGGAAGAAACAAAAAGCATTTTCCAGCCTCCAACCCCAGCAGTACTGGCCA